TTTGTGAAGTAAAAATGAGAGGAATGAGTGTGTTTATTTTTAAACAGATAAGTAAACAAAATTTCAAAGTTTACTAAGCAAACAATAAAAATTTTTGAAAAAAAATTTTTTTATTATTCTATTTACATTTCTTTTTTAAATTATATTAATACAAAAAATAAAAAAAAGAGGAATTAAATTTAAAGATAAAATAAAAATTTTTTTATATTCTGACAGATTTTTCTTTAAAATTAAAATAAAAGGGAAATAAAAATTTATTTTTGTTTTGTAAATTTTCTTTCCTCAATTTTTTAGAGCGTTTTGCGCAAACATTAGTCAATATATGTATATAGCAGGTAGGGGTATTTAAATAAAAATAAATCTATGTCCGTGACCCTCGACGGATTTTTTCTTTAAATGTTGGGGATTTTTGTGTAATTTAGAGAAAAAAATAAAAATAAATAATTAGATATATAAATAAAAAATTAGGTAATAATCGAAAAAATATTCAAAAATTTAGGCATCTCTTAAATAAAAAATTTTAATATGAAAAAATATTTGAAATTAATATTTAAAGAGGTAAGTAAAATATTTAATTGGAAAAAAAATTAAATTTTCAAAAATAATTATTTTGAATAAAGAATGATCATACTATAGTTAGAAACAAAACATTTAAATAAATAAAAATATAAAATTAAATTTTATTTCCCATTAAACAAATTTAGATTACTAAAAAACTTCCTTTATTTTTATTTACATAAAAAATATAAGAAAATGACAGAATTAAATAAACACAAAATTGAATAAACGTGGGAAATGAAGCAAAAAATTTAAAGAAAAAATTTAAACAAATTTAAAAACATTCACATGTTTTTAAAGTTTTTTATTTAACAATAAAAAATTTAAAAAAAGATTATTTGTAAAAAATATTTTTTAAATTGTGTGATCATATATACAATTTTTATTAAACTTTTTTAGACGCGAAGAAACGGAAATAAATATTTAATTTTTAATGGATAGTGTTGGAAATAAAAAAATATTTTTATAAAAAAATAAAAGATTTTTTTAATTTGAAAATTGTAAAAAGAAAAATTAAAAACTTATAAAAAATTAGAACAAAATTTATGATAAATAATTGATGAATATTTAGCAGGATTAGTTAAAATTTAATAAATATATTTGATTGACAGCAATTCAATTTAAAATTATAAAAAAATTAAATAAAATATAATTGAGTTTGTCTGAAAAGTTTAAATAAATAAATTAAAAATAAATAATTAATTTTTAAATAATTATTTATTAAAAATCAAAAGATTTTAGAAATATGTATGTATTTAATTATTTGGACTTTTAAAGTTAATTCTTTAAATAAAATAATTCTTCTTGATTATAAATTTAAATTTTAAACAAAAAGATTAAATTTAAATAACAAATGGATGACGAAAAGAAATATGTATTAGTAATAAATAAATACATTTTTAAGATTAAAAAAGTTTGTAAAAATATAAATTATTTATTGGAAATTATAAAAAATATTAATTTGTGGGTAAAAGTATTTTCTAAAAGTTAATGTTTATTATTTAAAGAAAAACGTTATTATTATCTGCTAAATAAATTAAATTACAATTTTCAAAAATAAATAATATCATTAATAATTATTACCTTTAAATTAACTTTTTTTATTAAATATTTTAGTATTTAGTAATTAAATAAAAAAAAAGAATTTAATAATTCTTTTAATATTTTCTATGAAAAGGTTTTTCTTTTATATTTAATTTTAATATTTAATTATACAACTTTTACAGTAAACTAATTTTTTGTAAAAATTTAATTACAATTTTATTAATAATAAAAAGAAATTTAATCAGAAAAAAACTTTTTGTGTTTCAACTAAAAATAGAAAAGAAAAAAAAACATTTTTGTGTAATTAAATGTTAGGTACAATTTTTGTTATTAAAATGTCAATTTATTTAAGGTAATTAATTATTGTGTTTATTTTAAATAATAAATGATTTTTGTGTTTTTATTTTTAAAAAAATATTTAATAAAAAAATATATTCAAAATTAAATGTCTGAATTTTTTAGATGTTTGAAAGCTAAGAAAGAATCCTCACACTTAAGATATTCCTAATTTTATAATAAAATAAAAAAAGATACATATTTATCTATAAATCATATAAATAAATTTAAAAAATTTATTAAATTGACTTTGAATAATTTTTTAAAGTTATTGTTTTCAAAATTTTATGTTTTCAATTTCTGCATTAATTTTGTATTTTCATTATTTCAATTGTATTAATGTAATACAATCACAAAAAAATTAAGTTTATTAAATAATTGCATTTCCTTTGTTGAATTCTTTTAAAGAATTTAATTAAAATTCAAAAAAATGTAGAAAAATATTAAAAAAATTTTTTAAGTAATATTTTTAAATAAAAAGAATATAAAATATCAGTAAATTGTAATTAGCATACAAATTCCCACAAAATATTTTTATAAAAATAAATGAAATGAATCAGTAAAAATAAAACAATATTTAGATTGAAATGATAAATATGTGGTTTGTTCTATTTTTAGTTTATTGGCCTATTTCCAATATTTTTTCAGAATTATTTATGTATAACGTTGTATTTGTAAAGTATTTACTCCATAAAAATATATTTAAATATTTAAATCTTCCACATGATTAAATGAAAAAAATAAATTGTAATATTAAAGGCTTCTTTTTAAATATGTTCAGAGAATGGCTAAAAAATTTATAAATTATTTAGATATTTTTAAATGATTTTGTTATTATCAATCTCTAGCTATAAATATAAAATTAAATTTTAAACAAAAAAGGATTTTAAAGTATAAATAAAAAATAATTTTAAGAATTTGGTGTGCCCGAACTTGCAGAAAGAATTTGAATAAATAAAAATAGCAAGAAATCAGGTTGGACAGTAAGTAGGGAAGTCGGTTGTGTTTCGAGCACATTTCATGATGTCTCAATTCTATCTCACCTTCTAAGAATTTTTTCACAAAATGAAAATAAAATTAGAATTCTTATTTAATTAATGATCTTGATATGTTTTGAATAAAGTTTATAACAATAGTAATTTTTATTTGAATTTTTTGCATGTTGACGGTAATTTAAAATCCCTTGGACCATATCATTAATCAAAGTCAAATTTTTTAAAAATAAATAGCAATTGTAAATAAATGTTAATATATTTATTAAACAATCAAATTTTTATTTATTCAAAAATGGCAAAAATAGAAAATTTTAAGAAGGATTAAAAATTAATTTTAAAACGGGGCTTTAAAGATTTTACAAAATATATTTATAGAATTAAATAGCCGACTTGTTAATCTTTTTGGATTAAAAACAAAATGTCAAAATAAATAAATCTGTTTGTAATGTATTTCTAAGTAATATTTTTGTCTAAAGGATATTTTTAAAAATAAATTTTTAATTAAAAAATTAAAAAGTAAAAATATTTTTATATAAAAATATTAAATAAAATGAATTAAATATTTAAAATTAAATTGGAAAATTTTAAATTTTTTGTAAAAATAATTTTGATTTTTAAATAAATTAAATATCATTAAATCAAAAATAAATAATTTTACAAAAAATTTGGTTGCTTACGCAATAAATTCTTTTTAGTTTACAACAATCTTACTTTTTTACACTTAAACCTGTCTATATAAAAATAATTCTGAAATGCTTGCTTGAACATTAAATTTAATATTAAAGTGAAGATTTTATTAAAAAGGAAAGGATGTAAAAGTGTAAAAATAAAATAAATAAAAATTAATTTTATAATTAATTAAAAGATTTTAAAAAATGAGAGAGGTTCGCTTAATTTATATTTAATGTTCAAGAAAATTGAGCAAAAAATAAACTTCCATTACAAATAAAAATACTCCTAATTCTTTTTTTAATTTTTTTACAAAATTAATTAATTGGTTGTAATAAATTGTTTAAATATCGACATTATTTTGCAAAACTGATAATATAAAAATTTTATAAGAAAAAGCGCGCAAGTGCTGGTTTTTATTAAGATTGTGGCAAATTGTTTTTAGTTATTTAAACGTTAAGGGTTTTTAATTATTTAAATTTGTTGTTTTAAATAAAATCCTTTTATGTAATTTATTTAAATAAAAAATACAATTTCTTAGAGAAGAAATAAGAATATTTTAAGTTTAAAAAAAGGAGAGAAGCGGTATAATCAAAAGAAAATTAAATTTTTGAGAACAGCAAAGAGTGTAAAAGACTAAGTAAAGAATGACGTAAATGTTTGGTAAAAAACAAAAAAATCTATGTATTTTTTATTTCTAACAATTAATGATGATAAATAGAAATAGATGAATAACAATTAAAAGAAAATTTAAAAAAAAATAAATATCAAAATTTACATTAATTTAAATAAATTATTTTAAAAAAATTTTAAGGGAAAATTGTTATTTATTTATCAAAAAAAAACAGGACAATTAAAAAGGCATTTAATCAACAAACACCTTCAGTAAATTAAAAAATTATTAAATTAATTTAATAATTTAAAGGGAGACTATTTAATTAAATAATCAATTATCGTCTAAAAATGAAATTTAATGAAATCTTAAAATTAAATTTAAAAATTGTTTAATAGTTTTAATTTAGCAAATATATAAATGTAAAATTTAATTTAAAAAAATGTAAAATTTAATTTGTTTAGAATAATTAAAATTGAAATAAATAAATAAAAATAACAAAAAAGCAAATTAAATTAAAAAGAAAAAGAATTTCCAAAAAATAAATTAGATTTTAAATAATTACCTATATTTTTTGTATTAAAAAATATCCCTCTTTTATTTTTATAAATATTAGGGATGATCGGAAAAATCTACAAAACATTTTGCTATTTCCAAAAAAATATTTATATAAACTTAATAATTATTTAATAAAAATAAATAATTAAAAGAACAGCCAAAAAGAAAAAAATTGTAAAAATTTTTTATTTCCTTTTATTTTTCATTAAATTCCTTTTTGCATCTGCCTAAACAAAAAAATTTTTAATGCTTGTGCCACACGTTTTGTAGTTTTTTTTTATTAAAAAAGTTTTTAAGAGAGAGCAGCATTCAAGTAAAATTTGACAAACAAAAATAAAATAAATTGTTCTAAAAAATATAGAAGGGAAGGCGGAAGTCAAAAAATAAAAAAAGGGAGAATATTTGAGGGAATGGGGCATCGGATTACGACTAAGTAAGAAATATGGAATGAGGGGGGGGGGGGGAAGCTTTGCAAAAAAAATTAAAGAAAAAGACTGAAAAGATTAAATTGACATGACGCATATAAAAACAGTAGTAATCCGATGAATAAATAAAAAGATAATTATAAATTGGTGTTTATTAATCCCGTAATGTTTATATTTATTTGTGTAGATATTAAATGTTTAGTACTATAATCTCTCGAGATTATTTTTTTAAAAAATATTTAAATACCTCTAATATCAGACAAAAATATTTAAAAAATTTGTATTAATTTATGAATTTAAAATGATTATTATTACATCAAAGGAAATAAATAATTTAAAAGAATTAAAGTCTATATTTTTGCATAGTCAATACTTGAATATTTAAAATTTATTCGGTTTAGTCGGGCTGACTACATACATATTTAGTAGTAAATTAAAAATATATCTTAATTATTTATTAATAGTTCCTATTATAATATTATTAAGAAATATTTTAAATTTTTTAGGGAATTTTTAAGTGTTATAAAGATTAATTAAATATATTTATTTACATTTAAATATTAAAATATTATATTCGTCATAATAATTTAAAAAAAGATATAATACATAATTCAAGTATAGAATTTTTAATGAGAATGGAATAAGAAAGTGCAAATATTTTTTTTACTTTTCTAAGTGAAAATTAAAGGAAAAAAATAAAGGAATGCTTTTAACTAAAATGAGGTATTTGAGTGACTAGTAGAGAAGAATGTCTCGAGGGTTATGAGGAGTAGGGAGGGGAGGAGGTGGGTTAGTGCCGGTCAAAAAGAGAAATAAATTTAGAAAAGTTTTTGAATTGTCAAAAAATTGAAAGAAAAGAAGAATTTTTGTGTTCTTAAAAGAACAGGTGTGCTCTCCTATTGTTTGCTGATATTTTGAAGCAATTGCTAATAACAGAAGTAGTAGTAAAAACTTTGTAAAAAGTAAAAAAAGGAGTGAAGGGAAGTAATGAAAAAATAAAAACCAGAGATCAGATAAATAGAAACAAATTTAAAAAATAAATATATTTGACTAATTGTAACTTTAAAGTTACAACCGATGCTAGTGGTGAATGAAAATACAAATGTAAATATTTATACTTAGAATGCAACAAATTCGGCACAAGGCTTAATCATTGAGTTTGGTATCAGTCGACTTGTCTCGATAAGTTCCAACGAAATAGCATACAATTGAAAAAAAATTTAAGACGGCAAACTTTGTCTTAATTTAGTATATATTCAAATGATATAAAACTTGTCCATAATGAAATCGTAGTCTTTAAATTAAGACCACTTTTATCATAAAAACATGCTCAAAATTTGAGTGGAAATTAACCAGATTGAATTATAAAATACTACATACATATAAAGGCCATTTTAATGTTAAAAAGTTTCTTACAGGGTGTTTAGGGTGTTGTAAATCGAATTAAAAAAAGTTAAAGTTATGTTGAAGACAAATCGGGTGACTAATTGAAGCATCTTTTATTACCTCTAAATAAATAAATAAATATATTCCGGATTTGAATCGTTTTCACTAGCGATTAATAATTTAACAAAAAACTCTCGATGTTAAGAGTATAGTACATATTTATGAATTTTTTCTACTAATTTTAAAAATGAGTTATTCTACTACACCTTTTTTTAAATACAAATTCATCATACATAAATATTTAAAAGTAAAAATTATTGGTTGCCATGAACATAAACGATGAAAGCTTAGTGACAGATAGAACACAGTTTTCTCAGGAGGCTTAGCGCATTTAGTTGGCACAAAAATCGTAGAGAAGAGGGACATGTCGTGCACACAAAAAATGAAAACGAATGAAAATTGAGGGAACTTGTATTGTAAAAAGAAATGTAAAAAAGGGGATATTGAGGGGATTTTTTTGTTACTTTACACATAGCATTGACGGAAATATAAAAAATGACAGCTGCGTGAGATAGAGAAAAAAAGAGAAATAACACTCGACTGGAAATAATAAAGAAAGAGGATGAAGGAAGATGTGAAGATAAAGGATAGGGGTAATCAATAACCTTTGAAAAAAGGAAACTAAAAAAGCAAGGCTAAAAAAGCAATACATATTAAAGGGAACATTTTTGGAAAAATAATTTAAAAATAAACAAAAAGCCTAAAATTACTTAAATTCAAACAATTACCCGCCTTTACTATCATAAAATTCGAGCTACCTAGTGTGTTTTTCACAATTTCTGTAAAACATTCTCTGATATCTGCAAAATATTCTCAAATGAACGGAAAAAATGAGAAGACGAGGACTGAAAACCCCCTTTTTGCGGGAGCTGCCTAAGCGATACCATCAATTTAAGACACCGCTCATTTCTAAAATTTAAGCGGTATATCAGAGGATGTTTTACAGATTTTATCTGCTAAAATAATAGATCAAAATGATAATCTATCAACTCTATCTAAGATTATTTGAATTCAAAAATCTCAGCATTAATGATCAAAGATTGTACCTTGGGTTTTTATGGTTGATCTGATAAAAAATACTGTAAATATTAATTTTCACCAATTTTAAAATTAAAAACATGAAGTCAACATATTATTTTTCTCAAAAAATAAATTTAAATCAGTTTTTTCGTTTAATAAATTTTAATCTTTCTTCATTCATTTATGATAATCTTCTTTAATTACATCAATCACTCGTTCATTCTTCGGACAATCAAATATTGAAACACAAGGCGAGGGGACTCCCCACTCTTCTCTAACATATCCAGATTCACAAACACATGCCTCTTGACATATACATTCAACATCTTTGAATACTTCAACTATTTCATATCCTCTAGGATATTCACAACTTGGAGGATATCCTAGACAGTTCATGAAACATTCATCCACTTCTTCATGTTTCCCACATGGTCCTTCATCTTCTTCAAGTTCATCAGCAGCATATTCATAATCACCACGTACTGCAATAATAGAATAAAATAATATTAGCTGAATAAACATCTAAATGAGAGTTTCTTTAATTTTAATTAATAAGGATTCAAAATTAAAATATTTTGTTGGAAAATAATTAAAAGATCAATGATATTTTAATGAAAATATGGGAGGGGGTTTCAAAATATTTTAGAAATTATATAAAAAAGAAAGAATCTTACCCTAAACAAAAATTAAAAATTCATATGTATGGCCTAGAATATTTAACATTCGTTAAATATTCCTATCATTTATATAAATATTTTTAGAAGGACATAAATAATTAATCTTTTGAAAGAATTTTGGGCAATAATTGTTATAAATGAAGATTTCTCCTCGGAACAAATAAAAGCTATTCTCGATGAATCATAAATTCTTCTGCTATTTTGATATTGAGACACCAATTTATCTTGCAATTGAACATGCTAAAATATTATACTAATTTAATCTTGCATCTTATTTGATATCTATTTTAAACTAGGGCGGAATTATAGCTCTCTTAAAATTTCCACACAGTACGTAGTTGATTCTTGCCTTAAGATGAATTTTTTAAATAATTACTTAAAAAAGAGCATAAAGTTCCACGCGAATTTTTAGAAGATTTTAAAAATACATATTTCAAAAATTTTATATTCTAATTACAAAAATACAACAAATGTAAAAACCAATGAAAAACAAAAAGAAATATATTAAAAGTTACAAAAATCATTTAATTAGAATTTAATTATTTTATTTTTTATTTAATGATGAGGTCCATTCATTTGTATATACCACAAATAATAACTCCAATAATAAATATTCCAAAGTGTAAACCCAGCAGGAAATAATATTCTACTCCATCTATCTATATTTAATCCTTTTCTTGAATAATGAAAGCCCTGACGAAGAAAATGACTTGTTGCCATTGGACTCTTTTGTTCTAAACCGCCACAATTTGTTGAACATCCACCACCTGCACAACTATTTGTTTTACGCACTCTGCGTGGTGCTGGAGGGGGTGCACGTCCCTCAAGATTATTTTTTTATTTTTACAAAAGTAATTAAATATGTAATTAATTTTTAAATACATAATTTTGAAGGGATAAAAATTAATTTTGAAAACAATAATGTTATAATAGTTGAAAATTACATAATTATTCAACTAAATAATAATGAGAAGCCTAAACATTTTTTTGGGTAAACCTACTTAACAGGTTTACTATTTTCAAGATAGTATCGAAACTTTCAAAATATGAAATATAGGTAGAAAAATTTTAAATCTCCAACTTTTTCATATGGTGAAGGAGGCCAGGGCTGCATTTCCGGAACAACAATATTCCTTCTATTCTCTGACGGCGAAAAATTGCTTCCATTTAAAAGTTGTTTTTGTGTTATATTATTATTATTATTTAAATTATGTTTTGGACTTATAGAAATTAATAAATTTGTTGAAGGTAAACTTTTTTCTTCAGATTCTTCTCCTCCATCTTCTCCAGTATTAAAATCATCATAGGACCTTAATTCCATATGTTCCGAAAGTCGGAGTCCCAAATTAACTTTTTTATCAGATGAAGGACATAAATTATCTAATCGGCAATTTGAAGGGGGAGATTTTCTGAAAAAAATTTTATTAGAATTAAAAATTATTCTATCAATTATTCTATCGAAAATCATAAATATTGGAATTTAAATTTTATATTTAGCCAATAAATTTTTATCTAAACCGGGATTTTATTGAAGGAACTCGGAGAAATACAACACATAATTATAGTATCAAAAATTTACATTTCCTGTTTCATTTGGCCATTTCCCATATTCTGATTTGATGAAATAAAACCCTTAGTTGGTGTAAGCGAAACAACTTTTTTAGTATTTCTGTTTGTGCTAAGAAATAAAGACGGCACAAGTAAATTAGCAAAACTCATTATTCGAGACCCAAATCCATTGGGGCCTTCATTAGTTCCTCCAAAAATAAGTAAAGAACTTTCCCCACAACTTTCACTAAAAAGAAGAAAATTAAATTAATTAAAAGATTATTTAAAATTACTCTGGAGACCATCTAGAATTATCGTCATGTAAATGTAATTCTTTAAAATTAATTTTTAGAAAAAAATATTTTTTTCAGAAATTATTTAAACCTTTCTTTGCGGTATAACTTGCAAGTCTTTCATATTTTTCTGCTTCGCGCATATATGAATTAACAGCTGCAAATTCTACCAATGAAAGAAAAACAAAAAACATGCAAGCTTTAAAGGAAAAATATTTTTAAAACAAAAATATTATTTCTTGAAAACTAACATCCAAACCAAAAATCTATAGCTTTAGCATAAGCTACTTGAGGAAGTCCAAAACGTAATCCATTACCCTTATAAGAAATTATAATTTATTTATTTAAAAATATTTTATTTCTACCAATGTTGACAACGAAAGAAGTGTAGTGAATGATAAAGTAACTCGAGCAGGAACGGCTCTAAAATTTTTAATTTATTTTAATAAAATTTTTAAATATATTTATAATAATTTTTTAAGTATTTTTTTATTAAAATATATTTTATTTCTTTTTAATTTAACCTTCTATCAATCCAAAAAGAAACCTAAAATAAAAATAAAATCTTTGAATAAATTTAAAAAATATCCACCCATGATATCATAACAATTAAGGCTGTTGGAATGAAAGATTGAACAAGGTGATAACCAATTTGTCTATTCAAATGAATTAAAGCTTCCAGACAGCTAAATTTATCTTCAAAAAATATTTTTATTAAAAAATTATTTTTAATTTTATTTTTGCCTCTTTTGTAAGTTTTTTCCATTATTGCATACATATAAGTACCATCACAATAATCAGGCGTCAATTGCTCTATTTTAAATTCAGGTAAGCCTATCTCAGGATTATAACGAGTTGAATTAGCAGTAAACCAAGTTACGTTTACTTGACTTTCAACATAAGCATCTTTTAAAAATTTTATTTTAATTTTTTTAAAATTAATTCTAGCTTACAACTAATAATTCTAATCCCACAAGTTTGTCTATCCATTGGATAATTAGCCAAATCCAAATTACAAGCAACATTTAAAGTTATTCTTTAATTATTAAATTTTAAAATTCTAAATATTTTTTAACCTAATAGAATAAGCTATATTTCCATCTTTATCAATAAAAAGATTAAAATTTGGTGCGGTTACTTCGTGAAATTTACTATTTCTTGCATTAGCAAAATATAAATCTGGTAACCTTTTTTTAAAAAAATATTTTTTAAAATAGGCATAGTTAATTTAAAAATTACCACATTCTATCTCTAACTTTAGGATCATTAACAAGAATATATTCTTCATTTGAATGATTTAATGACCGATCTCTCCAATGCATATATAAATAAAGGTCTACATCAAAACTCTTAATAAGTAAAATGAATTTAAAAATAGTTTCTTTATTATTTAGAAAATTTTAATCAGAATAGGTTAGATAAATATAATAATAAATATGTGCTCATTTTTAGATTAATATAAATTACCATATCTGTTGCCTGAAAATTCCCCATAGATTCTATATAAATCCCAATCAACACTCTCAAAGGGGCTGTATTGCTTGTACCACTTCTTGACAATAAAATGCCTGTTTCGGGAATTGTTTTAGAATTCTTTTGAAGACGGTCTCGCAATGCTTTTGCATTTTGAGCACCAATTTCAAAACTTGAACTAATTTAGAAATTTTTGGTTTAATATATATGTAGAGAAATTTAATAATTACCAATTTCCCAAAGGTAAATAAATAAAACAAATACAACTCCAAATTATTATTGTGGGTGGAATTAAATTGCAAAAATTTTTAAAATATAAATTTTTGTTAAAAAATAAAAATAGCATTTTATTTCTAAATAATTTTAAAAATAAATTTATAAAAAGAAAATTTAAAAAAATATTTATTTATGTCCAATTTCTAATCTTCCTTTTAATTCTTTTCAATCATTTATTTATTTAAAATTTTTTTAATAAAATATTTTTAATTTTGCAATATATTCAATGAAAACAAACAAACAAAGTATTAATTAGAATTTAAAAAAAATAAAAAATATTTTTAAAAATATCAAAAGAACGAGAACAAAGACTGTCTGGCATTAATTTAAAAAATATCGGAAAAAAGTGGGGGGATAATTAAAAGAATAAAAAACAAAAGAGAGAACCCCTTTCTTCTTTCTAGAAATTGTCTCATATCTTCACGCCTACAATTAATTTCTAAAGGGAGTAAGAAAGGCGAGAAAACACAACAATTTTTATATTTATTTAAAATATTTTTAAAAAATTTGTGATTTTATCTCGTTTACAATTTAAACACCCCTTTATTTAATGTAAAAAGATAGTGCAAAAATGAAAATAAAAGGAAGTAAATATTTTATACTTAGATAGCTAGTAGAAATTAAAAAACAGAAAAGTTAGACAAAAAATAAATAAATATTAACTAAAAATAAAAATAAATTAAATCAAGCATTAAATACCTAATAAATATATTTTATAAAATAAAACACTTTAGTAAATGGTGTCAGAATTGCTTAATATTTTTACAGTTCATGTAATTCAAACACCATCAAAATAGCCAAAAATTTCATGCTAAAGTTAATATAGAAAAATTTAAAAGGTTATTTAAGTTTAGTTTATTTTAATATTTCCGGCTGGTGTGTTATAAAGTAATTGTGGAAAAAGAGAACTTTTAAATATAAAATTTAAAAAGAATTAATAAAATCCTTTTGGGACCAGGACAATTAATAAAAGACATTAATTATTTAATAAACTAAATTATAATTAATATATTTTTTAAAATGAGCAATTATTTGAGAAAATGTTGCAATTATCTAAGAATAATAAAATATAAATTTTAAAAAATTTTCAAATATTTTAGCTATTTTTAATTATCAATACCTATTTTAATAAATACTTTAGAAACATATATGTATATTATTTCCGCATTAGCTAAAAAATATTTTCACGTTAATACTTGTAGATGCCTTTATCCTCAAAATCAGTAGCAAATAAAAGAAAAAATATTATAATGGTACAAATGGGAACTGAATGTTAAAAGAAAATAAAAAGGAAAAAATAAAAGGATTTGAAAAAAAGATGGGGCTTTATTCTTCGATGTCATTTATTTATTACTTCAACTATTATACCAACAATTTTTTGGTAATAAAAAAGAAACTGACTTAAAATTTTCTATCATAAATTTTTTTTTAAAATAAAGAAAAGAAAAAAACCGCCAAACAATGAAAATAAATGAACATGAATTTTGTACTTATATATTTAAAAATGTTTATCTTTCACTCATCAACAAAATCGAACGGAAAAACAAGCATTCCCTTGAGATAAAAAAGAATGAAAGAGTCATTTTAAATATTTTGGCAATTTTTTAAATTTAATTGAATTTTGGTTAATATTTAATGCTAGAATGTAAGTTGGCAACAAAAATATGTTTAGTTTCTTGGAAGAATGGAAATATGCAATATTTGGTTCTATTTCTTAGCTTAATTCTTTTTAAAAATAAAATTTAATTAAATAAAACCCAAAATAAGTTTTGTAGAAATATTCACTTAATGGAATGAATATCAAAATTTAAAAAGGGAACATTTTAAATCATGAAAAAAGTGAAGCTAAGTGTAAGTAAAGAATTTCTACTACAATTGTAAATAATATCTCTATATATATAATCAGATAAAAAGTTTTATAACAGGTCTATCAAATCAACACTAATTATTTAGGGGATGGCGACCCTTGCGCTCTGGTTTGGATTTCTTTGACATGATGGCTCATTACAACATAGATTGCCAATCCAGTGAATTTCTACACAGCAGAATATTTTTATCCGTATGGATAACTATTAAATTTTACTTAAGATTAAATTAAAAAACTAAATAAAATCCATAAATATTTAAAAAAAACTTAAAGAAAAAAGCAAAAAGCATTAAAGTTTAATTCTCACGTGCCAAACATCTGTCAAATAATTTAAATATTTGATATGTCTTGAAAAACACGTTTTATTTATTTTTAAATATAAGAATTTATTCAAAAGAAGATTAAATTCTTTTTTTAAACAATTTTAGAGTGTTAGGTATATTTAAAAACAAAATTGGATTTTTAAGAGATGTCAAAAATAAATGAAAAAAGTTGTTGATATTTAAAGAAAATAAATATATATTTAAATTAGAATAAAAAATTTTTTTAAAAGTTTGTTCGCTATAATTTTAAATTAAATTAAATTCAAAAATATAATAAAAATAAACTTTTTATAAAAATTTTAATAATGAAAATAATAAGGGGAAATTGATAAAAAATTTCAATAAAAAAATAACCGGAAAAGAAAATAATTTATTTTTCCCGAAGCTATACTATTTTAATAAAAAATAATAAACAAATAAAATAATAACGGGGAGGAGAAAATTAGAGTGAGATTTCTGGGTGTTCGAAATCTAATATGAAATAAAGTTGAATAATTATTATTTGAAATTAAGAAAAAAGTTTTAAATGAATTAATTTAGGTTCTGATTAAAGCATTAATTAATTTGCAAAATTAAATTTCCAAGCAACGTTTAAACATGGAATTAAATTAAGTTTTTTAATCCTTAAATGATTTTATGATATTAATGCTCCAAAAAATTTTTTAAAAATAATTATTTACAACATTAATATAAAATAATTCCTTTGGGATAAATGTGGAAATAAAAAAAGAATTAATTTTTAATATTTTTTGGAATTAAATATATGATGGAATTTAATATTAAAACTTATAAAAATATATTTAAAGATTACTTTCTACATTGAATCGTTTAAAGATTTCTTGAATTACATAAAAAACCATCTTTGTTAATCCAATCTATTTTAGTAATTGAAATTTAATAATTTAAAATAAAATTTATCAGACTTAAAAAATAATATATATTTGCACTAAAAATGCAAAAAAATATTTTAAAACAAGAGGCAATAAATAAATATAAAATTTAAAAAAAGAGTGCAGTAAAATGAGCCTTTTGTTCAAAACAAAAAGATTTTAGTGGCATTTGTAGAAGGAAAAAAAATATTCCAAAAAACAAAACTAAATTCAATCCTTAAACAAATTTTTTTTGTTTTTTTAGTTAAAATAAAACTAAGTAAACAGAAAAAGGAAAAATAAAGTTAGAGGGTTTTTTATTATAGAGACAACCATAATAAAGTTAGGTATATTTATATTTAATAAATTAATTAACAACAAAGCGACACAAATTAAAAATATAAAAAATAAATAGTAAATAAATCTGAAATAAATAAATTTACTGGAAAGAACATAAACTTTTATAGAAAATGAAAAATCATTTGTTGAAATGACTAAATTATTGGAGGCAGATGTATTTTATTAATTTAAAAGAATTAAAAATATACATATGGCGAATTAAAAGAAAATAGATTTAAAAAGTTGGAAAGGATTTAGAAGCAAATTTTATTTATTCTTAAGTATTTTCAAGTTCTAAGAAAATTTTATTTAATTTAAAAAACAAAAAAGGATGTTTTTTATTATTCAAAATTTAATACATGGAATTAACTCATCTAAAAATATAAGTAATAATTCTTTAAAAATTAAAAAATCTAATTAATTATCTATTGAAGTTTTTAACTAATTAAACAATAATACATAATTAAAATAATCACAAATTAAATAATCATTTTATAATTAATGTTAGCAAAAGCAATTTATTTGAAAGATAATAAACAGATTAAAATTTAAAAAGTGATCCGTCAAATAATGCTCTCTAAAATAATAAATACACTTTTTGTTCAAATTATAATTACCGAGGAATACATACATATGTACATGAATTTAAAGTTAAAAACACAAAATTCAAAGAATAAATAAAAAAACTGGTAAAATGAAACTTTTTTTGAAATAAAATTGGTAAAAATTAAATATAAGCAGTCTTTTGAAAGATAGACACGATACATTGATGACATCCACTAATAATCAAATTTGGCTAACATTCCAATAAATAAATTTACGTTAGCTTTTTTTGTTTTATATACCAAATGGTCTCTTTTTTGTCTCAAAATAATAAAAAAACATTTTTTATTATAGTTGTACATATTTTGGCAATAATAAAAAGCATTGTTTTTTATAATTTTTATTTTTGAGGTTATTCCTTCAGGTTAGTTTGCAAAAATTTAAATGAAGAATAATTAATATATTATTAAATGTTTATTAAAATTTCCATTCAGCAATTAAAATTTCAAAGCTTTCTCTTATTTCCTTAGATGATTAATTAACGGATAAATTAATTTATATATACATACACTCTGTAACAAAATGATAGCGCCACCGAGTTTTTATCTATATCTCACCAAATATGTAACGAATCTTTTTCAAATTTTGGTAGAATATATTTAAGGATATTATGTATCAATAATGAAAAGAAAAAGTTTAATCCAATTTTTTAAAAAAATTTTATGATAATAAATTTGATTTTAAAGTGTAACAAAAAGATAGCGCCACTTGTATTTTCGACCTTAAGGGTGGTCCGAAAAATCTGAAAAAATCCCTGTAAACATATCTATTGATATCTATAGAAAATACAAAAGAAACGAAGTTCCAATATAATTCCTTCATTGAGATCTGAAAACCCGAAAATCAACGGAAAACCGGGGGTAGACGTCTTTAAAAAATATTTTCGACCCCTTACAGGTGAAATAAAAATTTTATTTTGGGCTTATTTGAAAGCCCTTGAAATTTGCTACAAGATGGTATTAATTTTATTTACCGAAAAAAAATTCACCTTTAGGACATAATGTGATAAACTTTCTGGTCATAAAAATCACTCAAACGCCCCCCAAAATTTGATGAAAATGTAACTTATAAACTTAACTCAATATTTCTTAAGGTCGTAACTCAATATTTCTTAAGGTCACCCTTAAGGTCGAAAATACAAGTGGCGCTATCTTTTTGTTACACTTTAAAATCAAATTTATTATCATAAAATTTTTTTAAAAAATTGGATTAAACTTTTTCTTTTCATTATTGATACATAATATCCTTAAATATATTCTACCAAAATTTGAAAAAGATTCGTTACATATTTGGTGAGATATAGATAAAAACTCGGTGGCGCTATCATTTTGATACAGAGTGTATGTATATGTATTGAAAAAATACTAAAAATATTTATTTATTTGGGACTAAAAGTTCATAAGTGCAAAAATTTTTTGACATCCTGAATGAAATATAAAAGTCTGTTAATTAATATTATGTACATATATGTCAAAATTTACATAATTTAAAATAATTTATTCAATGCCAGACATATATCAAATATTTATTTAAAAAATAAATTAATTATTTACATCTTTTATTAATTAAAAACAACAAATTTTTGTTAAATTCTTATTGCTCTAATTAGTATAAAAGCACAAAAAATCCCTTTCAATATCTCAAATCTTCTACTCACATTCAACGCAGGTGATAAACTCAACTGGCGATAGTCAACAACAACAATGTCTACAAGCCCAAACGCGCATGGAGGACGTGGTGATCAGACGGCGACGGCGCGCTCAAATTCAAGGAGCCGCATGCGACATGGTGCTGGTGAGAGGATGAGCAAGCAGCGTATTCAGACCCGTCCGAGCGATGTTCAACAGCTGAGGGATCTGCGCCCCGTGTTGCTCGCCTGGTTGAAGTCGAAGGATGCGTTCTTTTCGCCATTGGAGGCAGCTACAGGCCTTGACCGTGAACAGGTAAAATATCCTTTTATCTGTTACAAAAAATATTTTTTCCCCTTCATTCAGATGTTCTATGCTGTCAGTGCCATCGTCCTTCTCTACCTGATCCTTGGCAATTTCGCTGGCCTCCTCTGCAACATGATTGGATTCGTCTATCCAGCATATCAGTCGGTAATCGCTATTCGGTCGGATGACAAAGGTGCAAAATTTAACTAAGAGTACAACACTCAATAATTTATTTAAATTTTGCAGAAGACGACACGCAATGGTTAGTGTACTGGACGACGTTCGCCTTCTTCACTGTGCCCGACCAGTTCGCCTCGCAGATCTACAGCTACTTCCCGCTCTACTGGGCCGTTAAAGCCGTGTTCCTTCTCTACTTGGCATTGCCGCAGACCTATGGAGCGCACAATATGTATGCCAAGTATGTGGATCCGGCATTCGACGCGATTAGCAATTCCTCGCTGATGAGGTAGAAAATTAAAAATACAGAAAAATTAAACATGTTCAAAACCTTTCTTCATTTAGACATGTCAAGATTGTTTCCGAGTGAGCAGCGATGCCGATGGTTGTTCAGAAGGATGTGCTCAGAAGCGAAAATGAAAAATATATAACAAAATTGTTCTAAATCGTAATTGCTTGTTTTCTGTAAATTATTCACCTTCCTTCGCTTTCTGTAAATTTTGTAATATATAAATGTTGTTGTTAACTCATTCCATTTATTGTAATTCAAAAAATTGTTTTTCTAATTTAATAAATGTGTATAAATAAATAAATTTAATGTTTGTAAATGAGGATTTTTAATGTTAGGCAAATGGATTTTTTCAATACCAATACCTGGAGTATCGAGCAGGAATGTCCGCAATTGCGGATTGCGTGGTTTTTTGGACTTGCGGATTGCGGCTGCGGAAAATTTTTTTCACTTGCGGACAGTCCTGGTACCGAGTCAATTCCGGGAGTACTGTAGGAGTACCGAACCGTGCCGAACACTAGTTTAAAATCTCTTATTAAGTAATTCAACAAAAGAAGAACTTTTCCTCTGCAGAAGAATATTTTTTCCCAGCCAATATTTTCATACTTTTACCATTTTAATTTAAAATATATTTGGAGAGATTTTTTGCATTCTGAATAATTCTGCTCGAATGCTTTTATTCATTTTTGAATATTAAATATTAAAGTACATTCATTCTTTTATTGTTATACAGCTACTTTGGAAGACGCCTTCAACCGCCAACGCCTTCCTTCCGCTACAAATTTTCACAAAATCCTTCCGCTATCTTATACTCTTTGTTCTTGTTTGGATTTTGTTTTTTTCTTTATTATTTTTTTAAAGGATAGCTTTTTTAATAATAAAAATAATAAATTATTTTTTCACCTTTAGGAAATACTCGAATAATTCTTCATTATCATTTATTAATTTTCAAAAAAATGCTCTTAACTTTAATTTCTAACAATTAAAAATCTCAAAAAAATTATGTTAATAATAAATTAATTATATAATAATATGAAGTTCTTCTTAAAAAATTAATATTATCCCTTAATTTAAATTCTCTTTTCTTTTACTAAATATTAAATCCCTCTTTAAAAGTTGCCACAAATCTTTTTTATCGAACATTTAATTTTATTTTTTTCCATCTTTTACAATTTATTTATCTTTCCAATAAACGTTCCTCCTTTACATATTTAATATAATCAAATTTCTTAACTCAATAAAGGAAAAATAAAATCTTTGAGATGCTCTCAAAATATAATCAGCCTGATTATATTTTGGTTAAAGTGTTTTTGAGAAAAGAGAAAAGCTAGCCAATAAGGAAGAATAATTGAAAAAGAAGATTTTGAGAAAATAATATTAAATAAAGGATAAAAGTCAATTTAATTATGGAAAGAATAAAATACTTAAAATTGTATGAGAGCTAGACAATTTTTGATTAAATAAATTTATAGGTAATAAAAAGTTTTAATATAGTAGTATTTTAATTTAGGAACACTAAACTTTATCAACACGTCTCCAAAGACAAATTTAAAAAATGAATATGTATATTTACTGATATATTTAATCCTTTAATAAAATCCATTTTTGCAAATAATGTTTAAATATATTTTAAAAAACCGTTGCCTCATCGTTCCAGATTTTTAAATTTTTTTTTCAGAATTCTTACCTTCCTTAAATTTTAAATGAAAATAATTTTTAATAGGAAAAGCATCAATATAGCAACCCCCAAATATAATTAAAACTCAGATGCCACCATTATACATATTTCTATTCAAAATAAAGTCGCAATAAATAGAGGAACTTGAGAAGATTTTATAAGGAAAATGACATTCACACGCCTTTGAAGAAGGCGAAGGTGGGGGGGGGGGGGGGGGGGGGGGGGGGAAAGAGGCCCTCTAAACAAATTTATAAAATATATTTTTTATGCTTACTAGCTAAACAAAAAAAAGATGAATAAAAACTGGGTGAGAAAAAGCTCTGCTTTATGTCCACTCACTTTGGAATGCTTTTAACACTAAAAATTTGACATGACATTTTTATTGAAGGAAATCTATTTTCTTTAAATTTTTTAAAATTCTAATATTTAATTTTTAAAGATTTTTCATATTTTAATAAGTTCAAATTTTATTCATCATTTTATTTTAAATTCGTAAATATTTAAGATTAGATGACCTTTTTTGAACACTTAATAATAATAGTAATTGCCTAAAATTTTATTTAAAAATATTTTTATATTTTATTTAGATATCCTATTCAATTTTTTCTTCAGTTTTTAAAATTTTACATCTTTTTTTAATAATTTTTATTTTTTGCCGGAGCGTTAAGGAATTTAAATGGCTCTAAACATTCTGAAATAGATCTTAGCTCCAATTGATACTTTTATGAAAAATTCCATTTAGCCATTGCTATAATTGATAATCATCTTGATCATAAACTTTTCGTAGAATAAGTACTTTTTAAAAAAGTTTCTTGAAATTATTGTTATTTAAATTAATTAAACTTTTTTGAAAACAAATTTAAAATATTTGGCAGATAAAAGTTTTTAATGGGTATCTATAAATTAAATCTAAATATTATTTTAGTATAATTTAAAATTTTATTTTTAAAATTTAAATTAACATTTAATTTATCCAAAAATTTCCAAAAATGTTATCTTTCAAATATTTTTATCTTCTTCATCTTTTTTATCCTTCAATTTTTTTCATTTTTTAATTATTTTTACTAAAAATTTACTTTAATTTTTTATATACCTAATATAAATTTATGTCATTTTATTTTATCTTTCCCAAATACTTTTTTTAATTGAGTATGTTTATTCTTGTTTAGTTGGATTCTTTTAAATATTTTTCCTCACACTTTGATTTTTATTGAAAATTTTAAAACAAACAAAAAAATAAAGAATTTAGAGAAATAAATGGGGGAAAAGGGGGGATTTATTCTTTTATTTTTATTTATTTTTTTTTGGCTTCTTTTATTTTAAATAAAAATTTTTTTGTAAATTTATTTGTTACTTTTGTTTTGCAATTTTTAGGAATTAAGTTACATTAAATATTTGTTTTGTTAAAAATATTTTTGAATAAATTACACATTTTTTTAATTAAATTACCCCTCCTCCCTCATTTTTTAATTTAATAATTTTTTAAAAGTAAATTCGAGAATCGATCTTTCACACAAATTTTTTTCAATTTTTATTTTCACAAAAAAGCAAATCCAACAAGAGACTCCCTAAACATTTAAAAATAATTGTCTATTAACTGTACAAATAAAATAATAATTCTCTATAAATAAATATTTTATTAATAATAAATATTTTCATTAAAGATTACTTTACTTTTTATTTATTTATTAGTGCAAGGAAAATTATGTGGCGGTTGTTATCAATAATTTTAGTATTTTCTTTTATTGACGGCACAATACTTCGATTATCACAAGTACATAAATTTTCTATAAAAATTTGCTTGGGATCTAATGTTATAGTTATGGCCCTAATTAATTTTGTCTCCCTATTTTAACCTAAACTTTGTATAATTTAAATTTTTTGAAAAATAATTAATGTAATTCATCCCTCGCTAATTTTATCTAAAACCACTATCTTTGTAATAAACCTATATACATAATTTTAGGTAAATGCCTCATTATCTTCTTCCCACCAATCTAAAGTTCCAGTGGATGTTGAACTCCAAGCTGGCCTTTTACGAGGATTTGAATCTATTTTTCTACACAAACGTGTTCGCTCTTTCTTGGGTGTTCCATTTGCTGAGCCCCCAATTGGAGAATTGAGATTTTTGCCTCCTCGACTAAAAAAGCCTTGGAATGGTTGGATAAAGTGTGGGAATATTGGGAAAGTAAATATAATTAAATGGAAAAAGATGAATTTTGATTGAAGGAAATTGCGAAAAAAATAGGAAAATATGCAAAATTTTGGGGGTTTTCAGAATAAAATTTAAAATAATCTTTACAGATAATTAAATAAAATATTAATTAAATTTCAGAAACCATTGAAGCAACAACACTCGCCCCAGCATGTTATCAAGGAAGAGACACGTAAATATTTTATAAATATCAAATAAATTAATTTATTGTAAATAAATTATAAGATGTAAAAGTAAAATAAGAATTAAGTAAATAATTTTAAACATTTTTTGTATCGTTTTTTGAATTATTAATTAATAGATAGATTAATCATAAAAATTATTTACAAGAAAATCTTAAAATTAAAATATTTTTACAGTTATAACGAATCATTTTGGGGTTCTGAAATGTGGAATGCAAACACTCCAGTCAGTGAAGATTGTCTTTACATGAATATTTGGGCACCAGCTGAGGCTAGGTATTTACTAAATCTTTTTGTTTTTGAACATGTATATTTAAATATATAAAGTAATCTGACAGTTTTGGTTTGGTTTTTTGGTGGAGGTTTTTGGTATGGAAGGTAATTAGTAAATATATTTTATGTATTATTTAAAAATATTAAAGTCCATCTTTGCTTCTTTATGATGGAAAAGCTTTGGCATTAACTGCAAATGCTATTGTTGTTAATATAAATTATAGACTGGGTGCTTTTGGTTATTTGTATTTGGGAGATTCTGAAGTTCCTGGTGAGGGAGAAAATTTTAGGAAATAAATTTTTAGTATTTTTTAAAATTAACAGGAAATATGGGAATGCTAGATCAGGTAATATTATAATTTTAAAAGAAAACACAGAAATATATTTTAAGCAACTCGCACTTTATTGGATTAGAGAGAATATTGAAGCTTTTGGAGGAAATCCAAAATCAGTAAAAATTAATTATTGAGTAAAAGAAAAATAAAATAAAATAGGTAACTATTTTTGGAGAGAGTGCCGGTGCTTCTAGTATAGTTGCTCATTTAATTGCACCAGGATCGCGTGGACTCTTTCACAATGGAATTCTTCAATCAGGTATTCGATTAATAAATTAATTTATATTTAATTATATTTTTTAAAAAAGGTTCATTAGACAACCGTTGGAGTATGGATACCCCTAAACGTGCCTTAGAAAAAAGCCGTGACTTGGCTAAACTTGTTGGATGTAATCGTACAAATATTCATGATATGGCACGTTGTCTTCGAAGAGTACCTCCTGCCGAGTTTGTTGATCAATTGTGGAATATTCCAACTGTTCTTTTAAAATTATTTTTTTTTAATTTAAATTAATTATAGCTTGGATTTCTTGAATTTCCTCTTGTTATTGTTTCAAAGGATGCAAATTTTTTTACTAAAGAAGATGCATTTATTGCATTGAGGAACAAAAATTTCGTTCAGGATGTTAATTTAATGATTGGTGGGAATTTTTAAAGAATTTATTTTAATTTATAGCTAAAAATAACTTTTATCTATTTAATCTCTCCATGCTTCCTTATAATTTTCTATTTTTAAAAATAATTTTCATCTTGACATCTACCCTTAATATACGTTAAGATTTACTTAATATTTTTTCAACTTAAATATTTTTATTTTTTAAGGAATAAACAGCGATGAAGGTGCATTTTGGTTTGTTTAATTATTCTTCATCAAAAAATTTTTTGTTAAAGGAATATTTACAATCTCCCAAAATTTTTTGATCACCAAACCCAACCTCTTATGGGGATTAATGAATTTAATGAATGTGTAAATACAGCTTTTGCTCGTTTACCTGAGGTCATTAGAGCTGCTGCAGCATATGTTTATACAGGAAATAATCGTTGTGATTATGCAAATGGACAGCATCGTTTTCTTGCTGATCAAGTTAATCAAATGGTAAAAAATTAATTTTTAGAAGAAATCACTTCAAAATTATTTTTAGGTTGGCGATTATTTCTTTACATGTGATTCTCTTTGGTTTGCAGATCAGGTATTTTAATAATTTAAAATATTATACCAAAGATTTGTTTTAATTTTTAAGTTTGATGATTCACCTGGACATGTTTATATTTATTATTTTGATGAACCTTCAAGTGCTGTAAGTTATTTAAAAAAATTATTTTTTTTAAATTTGTTTAAAGAATCCTTGGCCAAAATGGACAGGGGTAATGCATGGTTATGAAATTGAATTTGTATTTGGTATTCCTTTATATAATACATCTGCTGGATATTCTAATAGTTAATTTCTTTTTAATACCTATATTTTGTTTATCTATTTAGGAGAAAGAACTTTAAGCAAGAAAATGGTTAGTTTAATTTAAATATTATGTTGAATTTATATTATTTGGATTTATTTAAAGATTCAACTTTGGACATCTTTTGCCACAACTGGGTAAGACCTTAATACAGTCAATAAGATATGCCTAAAATTAGAAGACCTCATTCATGTACTTTCTAATTTGGTTGGCCTGTGGGTTAGGATAACTGCGTAAACGTTACTCTCTATTTAAGTTACCTTCATTTTTAATTTGATCTTTTTAATCCAAAAGTGTCATTTAAATTGTGGTCTATCTGTAATTAAAAACAAAAAATCGTAAATTATTTTCTATTTAAAGTGTTCCATCATTATCTGATCATCGAGAAGATCGACTACACTGGCCACAATATCACAGTCAAAATGCCCCTAGATGGATGCATTTAAAAGCGTCACATTTAAAGCAAGTTTATCACAAGCAAAATTTTATAAATCTTAAATATTAAAATTGAATGAATTTTCTGAGTAAAAATTATAAAATATTATTTTGAATTATTTTAGGCCTATGCATGCAAATAAACGTTCAGAATGTCGAATATGGAGAGCAGCCAAAGACATGGAATATAGCGAATATGGTATTTAATTAATTAGAATACGTTTCTCAAAATTATTTTCTTCAAAATTTTCAGTTATGGACAAATTTCTCGTTTCGTCATTAATTAATTCATCAACCTCGACATTTTTAATAAATAGAATTTTGGTGGTTATTTTATTTTCAATTTCTGTTTATTTATTTTCCTTTAAATAATTTTTCTTTATTTTCAAAAATATATCACATCCGGTTACTTTCTTTTGAATCTCTTATATTGTATTTGTAAATAAATCTATGTATTTGATATATATGTTTTGTGACGAGAATGAGCATTGTTTTAACAAGAAAGGATTAGAATTGAAAAAAAATTTGATTCCAAAAAATTCAAATTTGAGGATATGTAAATACAACAATTTTCTGAAAAATGAAAATAAAAATCCGAGCCTTCCAATAACTAGATACGGGACATAATATTTAAGTTAAATATTGTGATTGGATTATTAAATTTTATTAAAGTTAAAGGCACGAATATTCTATTCCAAACAATCTCGTTCTTGTATTATTAATGAAATTAGATATTTTTTATCATTAATTAATTAGTTACTAGTCACAATTTAATTATAAATATTTTTATTTTTTAGTTATTTTATTAAATAAAAAATAATTTTTAAATTTTTTTGTATAATTATTATTTGGTAAAATTTTAATTATTGTCGTTTTGTTTTTATATTAAATTTCTTTTAAAAATAATGATAAACCATTTTTAACTACATATTTGTAAATAATCAAGCTAACTTTAGTTACCCTGATGATAAATATTTCATTAATTTAATAATTAGTACATATCTAAAAATTTTATGTAATTAATTCATTAATTAATTTACAGATTGAATTTTTTGATTAAAAATTGTTTTTAATCATTTAAGTGTAAAATAGTATATCCTAAATAGTTATGTATGTTAATATTATTATAAATATTAAAATTCATTTTATATTACTAACAAAATGACTAACAAATCTCTCTATAAGCTAGCAAACCATAAATGAAAAGTTTTTTAGATTTTTAAATTAAATTAGAATTAGTTAATAATTATTTATTTAATAACTTTTTAATAAATTTAGAAATATTTTTATTTATTTAAATCCTAAAAATGTTAATTTTAATTAATATTTTTCTAAAAATATTAATTATTATGTTAATTAACGAAATTTCTAAAATACAAGCGAATCCAACAAATAACGTCAAGGAATTGGAGCAAGAACCGTAGATTTATTTAATAAAGAAATTTAAATTAATATCATAGAAAATTAAATAATATCATAAATATCGACGGATTTTAAAATTAATTTTTAAGTTTTTTATTAACGGATGTTGGAGTCATTCATCACTCAATTCCCTATTTAATATACGATCAATGCATGTTACGCCCTGAACAAAAGAAAATTGGCTCTTATTCCCTTCAATTTTTTCTCGAAAATTTATTTATTTGCCAACCGGAAGGGTAAATTTTGATTTATTTAGAAAATTAATTAATTTTTTAAATAATTTTTTAAGACTGCTAATTTGTTATCCGAGTCAATTGAGTAAAGAAAATAATAAAAATGGAACAATTTTTTCAATTCCTTATCGTTTAGGGAGCAAAAAAGTAATTTAATTAAAAATTAAATATTTATTAAAATTTAAATTCTCTTAAAAACATTTTATTTTAAAAAGTATAACTTAATATAACAAAAATTAAATAATAGTTTCAACGTTTTTATAAAAAATGTTTATACCTTTTTTACCATTTTTTATACCTTTTCTAGCCAATTCGATTCAAAAAATCGAGAATTCCCAACATTTTTGGTTAGGATCCCGATTTCACAAAATCGGGATTTATTTTTTATGTCTATAGATCCCTGATATACATATATATATATTAATGAAATTTAATATAATATATTTAATTTAAAAAAAAAGAATAAAATCACCGAGAAATGTGAACAGAAACGTTTTGATTATTGTCATAATCAAAAAAGTAAAATTTGTTCTCCTGGAAATATTGGCAATTCCCGATGGCATGGAATACTTGTCAAAACAGAACACAATGATGGAAATGTTTTTGTTAATATTTTATTGTCTATTTCGAACAAAATGTTTGGATTGTTTAAAATAAATATTTTAAATAATTAATTAAAAATATAGGGAAGAAAATAATTTTTAAAAGTTACATAAATTAATAAAAATGCATAATCATGTCTTTTTTCTGTGCAGTTAGATCAAGATAAAAATAATTAAAACGGTACTTAAATAACTAGGGGTATATTTAATATTGTTTTTGAGGAGTAAAATTTATTTTTCAATTTATAACTTGCCACATTTTAGATACAAATTTAAATCAGTAAATTGGTTTGCTCTCGAATTTGGCCAAAACGATAACATATTTACTCGTCTATTAAATGCTGGAAATGAAGGTAAGGACTAGAAGATTAAATTTCAAAACTCTAAAAAAAGGCTTGTATAAAACCTGTACATGCCCGGAAATGTTAAATTAAAAAAATAATTTCTAATTAATTAATTTTAAAAAACTATAAAATAAAGGCAAAGAAATTCAAAAGAAAGAAGAAAATCTTAAAAAAGAATTTCTTTTAAATATAAATGAAGGTACTTATTTATATAAATATATTGGTTTGTGGGCACTTGGAATGGATTTATTGCCAATTAGAGCACAAAGATATATTCATTTATTTGTTTATAGAGGATGTTCTTGTGCTGTACAAGCTAGGGTAGATTTTTTGAAAAATTAATTGGAAATTAAAGGAATTAGAGATTTAATGAAGGTTATGAATGAATTAAATCCAAACATCATAAAAATGTTTTTGAAATAAAAAATGAGATAATATATATAACCAAAAACTATATTTATTCGTATCCTCAGTTTATCCTGATGAATAACAGATTTAAGAAAATAAAATATTAATAATTTTCCAGTTCACAACACCAATAACTGCTAAAATACCTTTTATAAATAATCTAAACACAAATCAAGAAAGTCATTGTGAAAAACGTTTTACAAATAAAAAATATAAATTGGGGAAAGTTTTTGAGAAAGCAATTATTTTTGTTATAATGCCCGATAAGGAAGGAAATAGAGGACAAGTTGGAATAAATCTTGTAAACGAAAACATATCATTCATTGTTCAAAGGAATTTAACTGCTGTTGAATGGAGAAATGAAAGGGTAAGAGATAATTTTAAAATAATATTTAGAGTGAATCTTAACTTAGTTAAGATTTACTAGGGTAAGATTCACTAGGCTTTTTTCATCCGATTTTTTGTCCGAAAATAAATATGTCCTCACAATTAATAGTGATAAATATCAAATCTTTTGATTAACATATAATTTAACCCGTCTGGTTCTTGTGTCTTATACCGAAATTATATTTAGATTTATAAAGTATTGAAATTAAAAAACTCTTAATTTTATATTTTGTAGATTGACGGTAAATGGATTAATAAAAAACTATGGACATTTGAAAGAAATCCAACAATTGAAAGTGGAATTAAAATAACAATTACATTGTTTATAAAAAGATATTATTTTTGGATTAGTATGAAATATGAACATTTTTATGATGCTATTAATATATTTTGGCCAAATAAATGGTGGGAAACGGAAAACCAATTTAATGAAAATATTGAGGGAGAGTTGTTAATTAATGGGGATTTTATACCGATTAGTGTTATTAGTGTTGGACAAATTGATATTTCTAATGTAATTTTGATTATTTTTGAGGTAGAAAATTAATATTTTATTTTAGCGTTTTGCAACATTAAAGACACCATATGAAGAAAGATTAACTGAAGTTTCATACAAAAACTTTACTTTTCGAGGATTAATTCATAAAAATAAAACAAATAATAATGTTGAAATTGCATTTCTACACGGCACATCAAAAGATTCAATGCTAAAATTAAGCCGTATATGTTTTAAATTAATAAATTATATTTTAATTTATTAAAAGTATAATTTAATAAACCCGGATTTTTAGTCAAGTAAAAATTGCAAAATATTTAGTCCCTAAAATAGTCATAAAACGTACAAAATAGTTACAAAAAATAGTCGAAATAATGGTTTAAAATGTTAAAAAGGAATTAATTACATTTTACTCAAATCAAAATAATGTTAAAACAAGTAATTGGAAATTAAATATTTAAAAATACTGGCACAATTTTATTGAATTTTCTAAGGTAGAAGAAACATTATGGAAATAAATGTAGTCTTTACCAATGACAAAAATTCTTTAAGATATCCAAAACTTTAAAAAATATTCCTTAACATTCCTGAAAAATGAAAATTTTTTAAATTTTTCTTTAAAAATAATTAACCGATTGTGAGGGATTTTTTTAATATAGTCAATGCCAATTTTTGAAATTTTTGACTAAAATACATGAAAAAGTCTTCAAAGCCAAAAATTCCAAAATAGTCTAGAATAGTCAACATAAAAATTACTCTAGACACATAGTATTACGTTTTATTCGTTAAATTGAGATCGCATAAAAACGTATTTGACTAAAAATCCGGACTTTATTAATAAGAAAAAATTTTTAAATTTAGTTGGTGCTACATTTCTGAAGATTAATTATTCTGAACATGAAACTATACTAGACTCGAATGAAGTTAGTTTAGTATATTACAAGGAAATACGGGTCCTGTCATTTATTTATAGGCACTCTCACTCACCACGTACAGTTATTTTAATTTAAAACACATCTATGCATGTGGATTCCTTCCTTACAATATTATGAAGTTTAAATCCGATTTTTCACCCATATAATTTTAAAATAAATTTTATTTTATAAAATTTAGGGATCTATACCTATTAAAGGAGATTTGTTCAAAGGAAATGAATTATTTGAATTTTCAATTATATTTGAAAAAGCGTACAGGAAAAGGACTGGATTCTCTATTATAATTAATGACTTAAGACTAAATAATAATATTAGTAACTTAACTACAACTTTTCCTACTTCATCAATAACACATATTATTGTAAGTAAATAATTTATATGTACATGTATATACGGCGCCAAGATTCAATATGATCAGCCAATTTCAGTTTATCTTTTAAAATAAATTTTGCTTAGATTCAATTTTCTTTATTGTTTTGTTGGTTTTGAGTTCTTGGGGCCAATTCTTAATCTCGAGTTTAAAAATCTGTGCTCGGAAAGTTCTA